TCAGACGTGTGCTCTTCCGATCTCCCCAAAACCCCAAAACCCCAAAACCCCGTGTTTCTAAAATTTAGCAGTTGGTAGACGAGAAAAGGAAATATGGTTAACAAGGATCTGCTAATAAAATTTATTAATTCTTATTTTAGGTACAGCTTTATAATAAAACATTTCAAATGCAAAAAATCCTTATCCTCTTAATCGGAACTGTCGCTCTCACCAGCGCTAGATTCAGCCTCAAGGCCTTCGTTGCCAACAAAATCATCAAGACCTCCCCAGTTATCAGTCTCATGCATGATAATGCCTAATACTATAACCATACACAACAACATGAGGACACCTATCACATTCACTATGATGCCCAAGATCTTAAGAACATGCCCCAAGACGGTTTCCAATTCACTGAGGGTCTCCTTGGAGGACTCCTCTAAACTGATATGAGCGCTATGGATTAATGCCAATCTGGTGCCTTCAACATTTTTGACAAGCTCAATTCAGCCATCCATGACTTCTCTCAAAAGTCACTCTCAGGAGTCATTGAAGGCTGTGAAGATCTCTACGCTGCCATTAAGGACTTACCAACTGAACTCCAAACCTGTGAGCAAATCAAGGACCAACTTGTCCTCCTTGAAGCATGGATCAAGAAATTCGAACACCCCATCGACATGTCACTTACCATTTCCAAGAACTTCTTCTGGAACGCAGGTGCCGTATACGGTGATATTGAAAGTGGAATGAGTTCATGGAACACCTAACAATTCAAAGCATCAGGTCAAAAATTCGGAGAGACCCTCTATGTTCTCACTAAATGAGCAATCAACAGAGACTCGCTGAGTCACAAGCATTTGATCATATAGCCTTAATTTGTAACATGACTTAAATAAAATATCTTTTCATCTTCCAGTTAAAATAGCGAACATTTTCCTGTTCACTAGTTAATAAGTTTATTCCATTAAGCGATATAAATTAGAGTGTCTATCATCAATGATTAAGGTCAAGAATCGATTTCAAATTTTAACTCTATTTTTTCGTATCATTCTTAATCATTATATTGCCTAGACGGGGTTTTGGGGTTTTGGGGTTTTGGGG